TAAAAATTAATAGAAATACTTTGTTATGTCTTTACCAACACTCTCTTGGAAGTATTAATGTTTCTTTAAACAACTAACATAACTTCCACATTTTTCCTCTAAACACTTGTCTAAACTGCTGGATTTGGGTAGAGTGCTATGCGTTTCCTGTTATCCTCTCTAAATTGTGTGACAGATTTAATTTTAAGGCTTTAATGCAGTTCATAAGCTGACTTACGGCCACTGTTCTGAGTGGGAAGCCTCTGTAATCGGGACCTTCTTTATTATGGGATCTGATGCTTTTGGGGCACGTGTTGCCACACTAAGCTCAGTGATAGATATAGTAGGCAGAGCTCTGAGGTTATTTTGTTTTTGTTTTTTAATGTCTAGACCAACTCAGATAGAGTGTGAAAAGAACTGTGTTCTTGTAGATAATTCTGAAAGTCACATGAAACTAATGTTTACCTTTGGTATTAAACTGATCACCAGCTCCTGTACTCAGATATGGCACCGGAGACATATTTGACTGTTGAGTTTTTTTAAATTGAGATGAAATTCACATGACATAAAATTAGCCATTTTAAATTGTACAATTCAGTGGCATTTAGTACATTGACAATGTCATACAACTATCACCTCTGTCTGGTTCCAGAACATTTTCATGACCCCAAAAGAGAATCTCATACCCATTCAGCTTAGCTGCTGGATCTTGAAGTTAAAAACTCTAGCAACCTCCCAAAAATACCCTCTCTTGCTTAGGAGTAAACTCAAGCGTGGATAGAGATGCCTGCCTCTAACAGGATTTCAGCCAACAGTTTTAGAATTCCTAATTCCTTGATTATTTACCGCAGAGCATCCAGAGAGCTATTTTAGAACATTGTGAGTTTGAACTGGAAGCTGATAACTTCACTGCACACCTGACTGGTCACATCCACCGAGATTAAAAGAGGTAGCGCTGGTGTAAATTACCAACACCTTGGACGGAAAACAGAGACCTGATTGTAGACTGGAGTGGTGGGAAGTAGGTTAAGTGAGATCCAGCCAGGACTCTGGGGAGACACAGAGTTTGGAAATCTGGACTGACATCAGGAGTGGGCAGGAGGCTCTATAAATGTAAATGTGTGTGGAAAGGCACAGAGGAGAGGCTGAGAATGGACATGCGGTGAAATCTTGAGGAGGCTCGTCCTGCTTGTACAGAAGGATCAGTGCAAAAAAAAA